TTGTGATGGTATTAATTCATCTTAATACCAAAAAAAAAAAAAAAACCAAATCACCAGAAGGCAGTTAGGTAGGCCAAAAATGAATGATTACATGACATGACACTTCAATATTGCAATAGACCTACAACCATCATTTAAAAGGCGGTGGTCGTCGCACTGTGCATCATTTGTGTTGATAAACATTTATTTTCCCATAATCCAATGCGCTCGTCAAATCACAATTATGAGATTTGACCTGGACATGACTTCTTTGATACCTTCCAATCACCTAATAAAAATATCTAATTAAAGCTTGGTAAAATTTCAGTTTGTACTCGTTGATCTGCACAACAGTCCAAGTCACCATCTTTGTTTATGTGAGACCCATATATCTTGCACATGCTTGCTGCATCGACTACCGGCCTTTAATTGCCTGGATGAAAGTACAAGCGAGGGAATAATCACGTTCATTCCATGCTATGGAAACACAGATGTGATTTTCAAGCAGAAAAACATGGAAAATAGTTTTGCAATAATACATAGAATTGTGTCACGAATGCTTATACTGTTCACCTGACAGAAGCAACATGCATAAGTTTTAAAAAGTTTGGTTCTATATATTTTCATGAACACCTATTATGATTGTAACTGAAAATGTTGTTAAAAAGAAGTAAAAATAAATATATATTTTTAAATCTATTTTCACATTCAATAAAACTTTATATATCTATAAAATGTATTAAACATTACAAATTATACAATATTTTCTGCCACCACCAAAGTACAAATAATTATCTGTAGAGCAATAATTTTTTGCATGAATATAAGGATATTACGAAGATACCTCAAAGTATGCACGAAGATAGTACAGTGGCAGTATCGACTGACGCGCAGCGGATGTCGATGCAACAGCGTATTGTCTGAGTGCATACTTTGAGGTACTATCTTCGTAATAACCTTATTATTGTACATCTTTTCCTTCCAAGGATACATCATGTGAGAATGCCGAAATCCAAAAAGTTTAGAACAAAATCAGCGAACTTCTTTGTATGAAGTCCGGTCAAATCCTGGTGGCAGCCATGTTTGTTTTTATTATTAGAGGACGCTTACACGCGTAATCATTCCATATTTGGAATTCGCATTTCCTAATATGGTAGTATGAAAATACGGCAAAATTACAGTACGCTGTAACTTGTGGTGTTACGGTGACAGATGTATAATAATTGATATTATCTCCTAGTGGCAAAATGCGAGACTTATAGCTCAGTATTTTTTGGGAATACACTGAGAGAAATAAGAAAAAATACCTTAGCAGGACAGGATGGTATCACATCTAAAATAAATAAATCTTGCTAACACCAGTTTATCAATATACCAAATATCCTACCCTCATTTACCAAAAGGCTGAATCGCTATATCAAGGATATTTATATTCAGTTTTTAAAATGTTAAAAGCCGATTAATTGACAGTACTAGTTTTTTTTTTTCAAAAATAAGAATATTCGTCATATTTACTTTTATTATATTTGTGACGTAGAAGTATATAGCCAACATTTTACAGAGGCGACGGCACGAAATTTTTCATGAGGGGGCAAGATCTGCTCACTAGCATTGCGGCAAAGGTGCGACTTTACGTGAGGGTCAGGGGGCATTTCTCCCCCTTAAAAATTTTGAAATCTAGACTCTCTGAAACACTATTTCCTGCATTTTGAGGGGCAAATTTTGCTGACACAAAGGATTTCAGCTTCATTTTCAGCTTCCCCCAAGCTGTCGCCACGACTGTAAACGCACTAATTATTCACTGATTATTAATTTCACTATTTTCACTGATAATTAAAATTCACCAAATTTCACCCATGTGAACATGTAGAATAACAATAGAACTCATTGTTTCCCTGCAAAGTTCGTGAACTTTAAACCTAGTGAAATTGTTTAGTGAAATTAAATGTCAGTGAATATAAATGGTTTTACAGTATTAGAACATCACACAATTCTTCCCCCGATGTATGATAATTTGATTCAATAAAGTGCAATATGTCATAAATATATTGACAAATATGCAAATCACATAGTTTTTAACTATTTTGGTTTTAGAGACTATCATTTGATTAACACCCAGGTTACACCAGCTGTTGCTGGGTAGGGTTGCTACAATTGCCAAGTTGGCAGATACAAGTCATGAATCATGCTTAAAAAATACAATAACAAAACAGTTTTTAAATACCAAGACTCAAGTGAATGAAAAACATTGATAAGCCAGTAATTTTTTTGAAAATCAGTCTCATTCAAATAAGATACGATGAATGAAATGGCTCAGTCTGTACACACCTAGTCCATTTCACTTGTACATAAATTAAAATGCCTTATAACAGCTGACCTCACTGCACAAGCTCACACAACGTAAAAGTGCTATAAATAATTTTTGTTTACAGTCTACATGCATTTGCTGACTTAACTATGTTGGGCAGCTTCATTTGTGATTTGCTCTAACACAAAGATAATATTGGTTGAAAAATGTACACAGCTAAATAAGAAATTTTCTAATATAAATGCAGTTGTAATATACAAAGTTAGTAATAAAAATGAGTTAACACAAATACAAAGAAAATTTTTTTTTTTATCATTTATAAGTATTAGACAAGTTTTGGGTTGTACAGTTGCTTTGCTATTGAGCCTATGGTATCACCATTAATATACTTGTATGCAGAGATTTTTCTATTCTAGCTGCAGTTCAGTACTAAACATGTTGCTTTGTTGATAAATTCAGAAGGGTTTGGAAAGAGTTTGTAAAACATTCATAAAATGAGAAAATATCTTTTTCTATTTCTTCAAACAAAGATGACGCAGCAAAAAACAGACCCTGAATAAGCATGTTTATAACACCTAACTCCCTTCATATGGTGTAATCAAAAGCAAGGCATGTTCAATAGCTTAAAAACCATAAAAATCAAAATTTGTGAACTAAATTTTATATTGTCACAAAGTGCTGTCTCTAACACTAAGACTGTATTGACAGAGTGGTGACAATCAACAACAACAATCACAACAAATTGTTACAAAATTTGCGACTACATTTAATATTCATGAACACATACACATATACACAATTTTGATGATGTTGTTGACAGATGAAATCCAGGGTCATCACAGCAAGAGTGAAAATTCAATAATCTTTCACAGCCATCCAGATTATCACTCACTGCTTGCAATGAAACCAATTATATTACTTGCAGGTCCTGATGGAAATGCATGAAAAAACAAAGATGTAAATGTAATGAAAGAAGTACTGTAAAATCTGTATTAAAAGCTGCGGTTTCTATTATAATAGTAGAATGCAAGAGGGAAATTGGTTTCTATTAGAGCATCTACACATATGAGAAATGGTGATTTTTTGGTTCTCAATTGTTTAAAAGAAATGGGTGCGACTTCTATTAGGGTCTAATACAAATATTACAGTCTGCAATGAATATAGCATGAATGTTGATGCTACTGGCATTATTCTCAAGTCAATAGATTAAGGTCATTTGTGGATATTAACAAAAACCATGGAAACAGCGATATTTGAGCCATTTATTATTATTTATTTTTATGGGGATAAAATTTTGCCACAACTAAAAATATCGTAACATATAGTGACAAAATAGTATTGCTATAAGACGATTAATTCTGACACAAATTATTAGAAGATTCCGGGGATTGCTTTCAACTCTATAATAAAGTAACGACTATCCATGGATATTTTAATCCATGTATTAAATAACTAAACCCAAATAAACTTTGAGATACCAGATGAATGTACACTGCAGGAGTAAAAATTTACCAGTAAACAGATTCTGTAACAACCATTCATTCTCACTATATAAATGCTACCGGGGGTATTAGCATAAGCCATAATATATAATCGGACATATTACCCCAGTTGTCCCCTTTGTAAATTGACGAAACAATGAGGTCATTGGCTAATTCAAATTCGTTGTGGACAAATACAGCAGAATAATAGGATTCTTGCAGGTATGAATAGGATTACTGTATAACACTTTGAAATAGCTACATGCCATTTTAGCGAATTTGACTCAATGCATGAATTAGCACAATCTTAATTTAGCTAAAGTGTTAATCTCATTATCAGAATATACCAAACTCAGAGCTTAGCGGTCAGGAGAGTGGGCACTTAGTCGAGCACCCCACTCGAAAAATTGGCCAAAAGACAATGAAGTGCTGAGGAAGCTTAGTCAAAACATATTGTTCTAGTAATGCTATTTTTCTGTTATTGTTTATGTTGATTATTTCATTTTAGCTGTAAGCATTTAACATTTACAGCCACATTCTGAGAATTATTTGATCAGTTAGCAAGATGACTTGTAACTTTGCAATCCCATATAAAACTTGACGGTATCGCACACATGAACATTTCATCATCTTACTAAAGATGAGAATTTTTCAAAATGAAATACCTTCTTCAGAATGTACATTTTTTAATATTTCTTGAAATACGTAAACAAAATTAGCAAATCATAATAATGATCACCCCATGAAATAATGAATGATACATCTGCAAGTGGCTCTATCAAACACCAAAATGTTTTGCAAAATTGAGAGCCATCTTGGTAACCAACTTTCCAAATAATTCTCAGAACGACTATAAAAGGTGAATAAATTATCATTACTATTATTCACACAAATGTGTTCTATTGCATACAGCACTCCCACAAACGCTATGTATACTGAACCCATCTAACCTCAACAATGTACCGTAAACAAATGTTTACAAACATTGTAGTGGTATGTCATATCAATTTGTTATATGCAAAAGATAATAGCGCAAGAAACTAAATATCATCTATTCCTATGCAAATGAACCCAATTAAGACGAGTCCCAGAGATATAACTGAAAATATTTCTTTGAGGATTATTTATAAAATGATATGTTGATTTTGAGACCGACTTGATCTGTGGTCATATAAGTAATATGCATAGAATGATGTGAAGTTGGCAATGTGATAGGATCCTCTTCTATTCAGTCAATCATAATAAATATATACAAGTTTAAAAAAATTTAGTTAAAGGCAGAAGGGAATGATTGGATTTCGCATTATAATTACGAATAATTCACTGGGTAAGTGAAATCCACTGAGATACATCAATGTGCAGGCTTACAATAAAACTAATTGATTCATTGAAAAATCAATGAAACCCAGGGAACTAGCTTAAAGAAAAAGTTAAGGCTAACAACATAATACTCCCAGATAAAAGAGCTCGGCAAATGTAAGAACATGCAATTTACAGTTTTCTTATATCACTTTTCATTCTCCAGATATTAAACTTTTCATCAATTTATGTAGTCAGCCATCTTGATTCTCAAGCAAAGGATTATGGGTAAAGTATGACATCATAGAATCTCTTGTCAGTAATTATTGAGTAAATGATTTATCTGATGCTTGAGAATCAAGACGGCGGACTACATAAATTGATGAAAAGTTGAATATCTAGAGAATGAAAAGTGATATAAAAAAAACCTGTAAATTGCATTCTCCTACATTTGTGGAGCTTTTTCTTGAGGGGTCATTATGTTGTTTGGCTTGACTTTTCCTTTAAAAGAGTGAAATTAAACACATGTGGAAATTAACGCCTTTACAGTAAAGTCATAAAAAGAGGAAACATTGACTAAGATAGAGCAAGTTCTATGAACATGTATCACTACGTTTACGTCTTTCATTCAGGTTAGGAGAAGATGGGGTGCTGCTACTGGTGCGGTTTGTAATGCTATTATCACCTGCTGACAGGTAGGGATGCGTAGCCAAAATAACACTTCGAGGAGATGGCTTGGAATTGGTGGGTTGGTCAGTTTTGTAGTTATCAGGCTGAGAACTACTCCTAGGTCGTCCCTGGAAATAACCGAAAGCAGTATTGAGCCACTTTGACGGAGTTGAAGCTGGAAGAAATAAGACATAAAAAATCAGTTTACTAATATGTTAAGATACAAGGTAATTCAAATATTTGGAAAAACCCATTACATGTACTAAATTGTTACAACCATGCTGATAAACTGTTCCCAACATCAATATTGAATTTTGAAAAAGGGGTAATGATCAAAATCCCCTTGGTTTTGGGGATTTGTTATCCAAGATTTTTGTCATATTTGCAATATGGTCTCTTCAGGTAGCCATTAAACAAATAGTCACCAAACTACTATTGGAATAAAATACAGGTCAAGCAAAAAGGTCTCAGCATATCTCAAAATTTCATTTGGTTACATCCAGGAAACAAGCAGCCTGTCGGCTGAGATAGCTCCGCTGTTAGCAATGCACATGGCAATTAAAGAACAGAAGATATCATTAGAAAATGAACAAATCTGAGAGAGGTCCACATGTAGTACCTATATGTATAATATATCAAAGCAATTGGACTTGCGGTTTTTAACAAGAAGTCGAAAATATCACTTTTTACCAAAAATGACAAAAATATTCACCAAAATTAAAGAATTCAAGATATCATTGTGAAATGAACAAATCTGAGAGAGGTCTACCCAAGGTACATATACACCAAGTATCAAAGCATTCAGGCTTTTAGTTTTCAAGAAGAAGTCGAAAAAGTAAAACATTGACACGGACGACAGACAATCACTCGTATGATAAGCTCCGCTCGACAAAGTCGACAGCGGAGCTAAAAAAGGTAGATATTTATACAATGATTATAAAGGCTATGGGTTTTTTAGGAGACAATGTTTTAAGGTAGAAGCCTACTCATAATTTTTGTGAAAGTTACTAATGAGCTATCGTTCCATGGCACCATGAAATAGCATTTGTGTGTTAGACTGAGAAAAAAAATATCTCTGTTTCTCTGTATTTTCCTGGCCTTACTGCAACATATTTTGATAAATTTGTTCTAAAATTATATTTTTTAAAAACCATTAATTTTAAAACAATTCCATAGAACTTAATGTTAAAGAAAAAGTGTTGAAGCAAGGGCTTTGAAGGCAATATACTCTAGGGCATTTTTATCTGTTTTTGCCTAAATTCCAAAGAGTAAGCCCTGAATCAGCAAACAAACCCACTCAATAAAAGCAAGTGATCAGATACCTCAAAATAGGTATATGGTATTTGATCTATTAGTATCGGTAGAACATGAGCTTACAAAATTAACATATGTGTGTACAAAGGTGACATTTAAATAATCCAGCATACAATAAATTCATTTTTGGGTTTTTGTGCGCTTCTAATAGAGTAAATATGGTATTGATAATGGAATACAAACTCAGGTACTTGATATATCACCAAGCTAACAATGACTGATTAGATAGAAAAATTAGATTAAACTGAAATAACCTGTTGTACAAATGCAATACACTATAAACCACAACAGAAAAATTCAGCAAATTTTGAAAAACTGTAAAAATCATGACATTTTGTAGCTGTGAACATTTCTCTGCGGCTTTCCTACTGTCTCCACAAATGCCTTTAAATCCTGAAGTTACCCTTTTTAAGCAGAGACAATTTGATAGCAGTATTTCTCAACAAATTTTGAAATTTTTTAATGAATTATTCTGTAATATTTCTCAGTTCTATTTGATTTGATAAACTTAATTTCCAATTGTCTACAGGTCTTAATCAAAATATTTGAAAGAAATTGTGAAACAAATATGTGAAACGTGATAAAAATTAATTTTATTGTTGTAAGGATTAATAGATTTATCACTTACCAGGGGACCTTGGACGAGGAGGACTCGGTGGTGGAGTTTCCTCGATATCACTGATAACTTTATGCTTGTGGTAGTTGGCATATATATTAGTAGCCGCAAAACAGGCATTAGGTACTGAAGCCATGATATTCTTTTTGTATTCTAACTGAAAATAAAACAAGAAACAACAATTTTGTTAAACTAGAAATGAATACAATAAACCAAATTATTTGGAACAATAAGAAAATTTGATGACTGGGAAATCAGTTTAACATCCAGATTTCTGCACTCCCCTTTGGGGCATTTTTATTTTCGAGGTCAGGTTCAGCTAAGCGCCCATCCATTCAAAAATGCTCTTATTTTGACTGTCTTGTCATAAAATCTGGACTTTGAGCATTTGTTCCCGCCCGACCATCATGAATATCATGTAAATGCAAAGATCACTCTAACAGTGGAATAAACTATGTTTTGACAACGACCTGGCATGAAAAGCAGTAAATACTTGATTTCATATTCAGTTTACCTTTCAAAGTTGCTAATTACCATTTTTTTAAAATCAATTCTAGCAATTCTGCTAAAATCAATTCTAGCAGACTCTAAAACAATAAAATTGCCACCACTTGGCCAGTCTAAGTTTTCTTCATAGACCCAAATCATTTTCACATCATAAATTCTGATGGTACATAATTAATATTGTAATAAAATGTGCATAATTTTCTTCATTGTAAGAGTTGTAGAAATCAATAATGGCGCAACTAATTTCACATTTTATTTTCTCCAATTTATTGAGGGGGTTGCTGGGCAGAGTCGCCTGGTAAGTTAGATGAGTACGGTAGACATGTTGTAAAAAATGTTGATATTTGTACAAACTTGTAATTAACAGACATAATGCAAATGATTTCCATGTCTAGAGGTAGTATGGTATGCATTTTAATAACAAAAGGAACACAAGTTATATACGGTAACAAGATATAACAAAAAGGCCCAGGCAATTTTTATATTCAATATTGTTCTTCATTGTAAAAAAAGTTTATACAAAACAAGTTGTACATTTATGTACAGAACCAACAAATTTTGTACTTCAGCTATAAGAATAATGATTTTGAAAAATGTCTGTTTGTTTGTCTGTATGTATGCATGTTCCACCGTTATCTGCTGATCAGATTGCACAGAAACTTGGTACATAGGTGCTGTGGGAGAATGCACAGACCTGATTAGTTTTCGATAACAATCTGACTACAAACCAAAAATGTACAATCAAATTTATTTTCCGAGTATTAGTAACTCCAATAATGTGGATCACATTGTTTTAGTGTTGTAAATCTCAAATAGCGACAAACATAAGTTGCACCAAGCTTCTCGTTTGAATTAATTTATGCCGCCAGTACTCTTTCCAAGCTTTCTTCGATTTTACGTCAAATCAATATCAATCCATAAATAAGTCAAGAGTACATTCATGAACTCACTTCGAAATCTTAGATTTGGCTACAAAAAATGTCAGTTTTGCTAGGAAGAATAAAAAAATCTATGAATTTTTCTGAGAAAATGGTTATTATATAATCATCCAAAAAAAGATACAAAAATATTTTTTTGGGGTTTCTTCATGTTTGTCAAAAGGTTAGGCAAGTTGGTAACTGGCTAATAAAAACAATTAAGTTTTAGCCACCATGCCTAAAATTATGTGACCTTTAGTGAAATCCCAAGTTCAAGATTAAATCAGGTTTTACTGATAGTCATTTCGGTGTATATCAGGGCATGCCATTCAAGGAACTTGCTAATCACTCTCTCAAAACAAGACCAGTGAGAGCTAATTATAACTCCTATCGGTAATTCAGATCATTTTGAATAGATTATATTAGCATAGCTACCCTAATCACTTGTGTTACTAGGTTCAAGAGAGACATTTTTACCTCTCCAGCTATTTTAAAATGACCTGGTAAATCAGATCAAGATGCAAGTTGTTGAAATACTACCTTTAAAGAAAGGGTATTTTATTTTTTGTTGATGCATTTGCATTACAAATAAATTCACTTTATTGAATTTCAAGGCCTCTGATGGATGAACAAGGTGAAATCAAGCAGAAATACGCTGAGAACTAAATAAATTATAATTACAGAGAACATATATCACAAAGATTCAATCATTGATGCTCTCAGTTTGAAAGGTTTATAGTACCGGTAGTACACAAATTAACATCAGTACGAAAAATGTTTTTTGTTGCAAGGCATACAACATTTTTAAGGGGTTGAGGTAAAAAGTATATTATTAGGTAAATATATTTTTTAAGGTTTGAGTAGAAGGAACAGACTAAAAGAAAGTGGTATTTATTACCAAGAATCACAATTTTCATATCATTATTAAGGCCAGACTTTTATTATCCCTTGTTTCGCGAACCCACCGAATGAGCAGGAGCCGAAAATGAAATAAAAATAAAATTTGATTTCAGCGTAATTTCTCGCGCCCGCCGAATTGTAAGCACAAAAAAATGCTAAAAAAATATTATTTTTATCTTCATTTTTTCACCGCCCGCCGCATAACAAATCCAAGTTGCATTTTTGTGGGAGTATCATGATCAAAGTACCAAAGTCTCACGCAGATGAGAAACAAGGTTATACATGGAATAAAATGTTATTTCATTTCTTTTCTTCTCTCCGATCAATGATCTCACTTACAATTCTTTGAGAATCACACAAATCTAATGGAAAAAAAGAATTAATTTTATTTATTTTTTCGCCTTCCTCAAAAAAATTACCTTATAAAAACTCAAGAAACAAAGAATAAAAAAAGTCTGGCCTAAACATACATGCACCTTCAATTATTTTGATGTTTTAACTGATCTATATTCATATAGCAGCCTCCTATCTTTAAAAAATGCTGACACTAAGTTGAACTATTTTGCCACTTGTACAATTGAGGACCCTTGCTTTGACTACTGTGGTGTTCAGACAGAACCCTTACATCAATAAACTGGTATCTATATCTATATAGCTGTATTGATTAGACATTGTACGAGTTTCTCCAAACTCGCAAAATTTACCAATCTGCAGGTGTTCATAGGTCTCAAAATTAGCTTAAGACATTTTGTACAAAACGACAACTAGCGTCATTGGACGTTTCTAATTTTTTCACCAAATTTTGGGTTTTAAACAGTAAATTTAACTGAAAACACTGGCTCTTTGTCTGAGATGATTGAACAAAATTAGAAAATTCTGAAAAAAATACCAGCAAATTGCTGATGTCTGGTGAGTCACTACAATCTGTAAACAGTGTTAGAATCAAAATATTTCACATTGCAAAATGTACTTATAGAGATTAACAGTTTGTTACTGGGTCAATACTAATAGTAGTGACATATATAAATATCCTGATTGATTATCGCACTAAAAAAATAGCCATGTACCTTTTATTGTGATGTAAATACTATTCAGTGAATTGGGTCATGATGTGGGCTGACCCTTGTTGCTATCAATATCACTGGTTTTATCGATATAACAAGAGAGCATGAATACAGGGGAATAGTCTGTAAGTAAACATGGAAGAACAAAACACCTGTACATGCAGTCTAGCACATTTAATACAGTAGAATCATTTTATTGCATTTAGCAAATACATTTTTAATTCTGTTTTAATTCTGTTCTAGGGGCAATGAAATGTTTATAGCACAGAAAACATTCAGGGAAAAAAAACTATATGATTTGAATTTTCATACATGTATTCACGTCAGTAAATTATTAACAGTTATAGATATGATTGAAAAATAATCATTTGAGTTAAATATTATTGTAAACAACAGGTGTATCCGATTTATTCAAGGCCCTGAGAAACGAAATGACAAACAAATGGCAATGAGCCGTTTGGAGGTCATTTCACTGACACCAATGTCATTACTCAGATGAAGCAGCTTAAGTCAGTCACTGAGGAAATCAGGATTTCTCATTGATAATACCAGTACATGTAAAACTACTCATGATAGAGGCCTTGTTATATCACATGAAAAACATTTACAGTTTGGTTTTAATTCTATCAATCCTATGTTTCTAACACTTTACAGTCACCGCCATATTGTTTTGAACACTAAAACAGCAACGTTTATATAACAAGTTCATGTGGATTTAATTTAGCGGATTTTATTTATCAAGGAAAATAGCGAAATTAAAACCCTGCGATTAATTAATGCTTTTACAGTTATCTACACTAAAGAATACAATGTCTAATTTACAAGAGATGTTCAGATATGAGATTTAGAATGCATAAAAACTTTGTTTGCTTTTGAACTACAGACAGTAGTTGGCCATGAACCAGACCTTGAATGCATCTATTTTTTGTTGTCCTTGAAGCCAATAAATGAGACAAAGTCAGACAAAAGATTACTATATACAAAATATAATTTAATAGTGTTTTTTTTTTTTTAAATGGTCAAATATTATTTGTTCAATTCTTTTTTTGCTTTACAATGCAGCAATTACAACTAAACATGTATTTCACTGAAGCACACTATTTACATGATTCAATAACAGGACTGACAATATTAGTTATTGTGATGGGAAGATGTGCAAGATGCAACATAAGCCAGTTGTATAGCGCTGTGCCATGTCCACAGTGTTGTATAGTGCCTGACCTCCTGGGAGTGGATAATGGGTGGGAAGTCAAGGGTACAGCAGGGTTTTTTTCTAAAAAAAGAAACTGCATAAGGGAGACAGGGTTCCTCCCTACCAGGGTGTGGAGTGTGTGATAATCCTAAGTTAAATTGGAGCATTCTATGGCTTCCTTTGGACCAAAATTACTATCAGACAGGTCATAGTTGGAGACTGTGGCCACATGTGATCCCTGGTCAAGCAGAATTTTATGGTTGCTGGAGGATCTGCTACCCATGGTAAGGGGACGCATGGCCATGGCATGAGGGTGCTGCGCCCCTGTTCCCTTGTACAGACATTGTCAATGTCTCTTCAGTCAAAGTCTCTCAACAAGGGACTGTGCTTCAGAATACAAAATATATTATTGATGCATTGACAAAGTAATAACTAATATTTCCAAGACTTCTCATGATCATGGTATCTCTGTGTACAAATATCTGGACTGAATACTGGGGGGACTACCATAATGATCATAATGTATGTATTGATTCACAAGACCTGAAATAACTGAACACAGTCGATGGTGAATAGAATATAGAATAGAATCTTTATTGCTATCGTACCCCATATTTGAGGTTTTGATGAAAAGTACAATAAAGTAAAACAATCTGAAAAACATGTAAAAAACAACACTAACACTGACAAAAAAAAAATCAAACAAGACGCTAAAATTTCTAAACATAGAAAAAATGGTTAATTTGTATTTTCTGAAGCAGCCGGTTTAAGCATTTCACTTTTAATTGAATTTTCTCGTATATTAAAACAGTTATAGATGTGTTGCGCCACATCATTTATAATGTTTTCATCTTTATTATTTAAAATATTAATTAATAACTGTTCATAGTTTTTGTTGTTATGAGTAGTGTTGCATCTTTTGAACAAACTTTCGCTTTTTTTAGTGTATAACTGACATGACAGCAAAAAGTGTTGCTCATTTTCAATTTCCTTAATTTCACAAACTGAAGATTTTCTATCAGAGATTGGTACATTATTGTACCTTCCCATTTCAATCTGTAAGTGATGGGCACTTATCCTCAGTTTGGTCATTGCAAAGCGATATAGTGGGTTTTTTATTATTTGGAAGTATTTTTCCAGTGAAAAATCTGTTTTTAATTTATGTACGTTCTCAGTTCATTTTTATGGTTTGTGCCTTTGACGTCATTGTCTGGTGCGTGCCATAACGACCATATGTGCACGCATTTAAAAGAACGGCGCATCCTTGTAGAATCGGTTTGAACTAACCAGTTCTAATCGTTTAACGATCTCGAGACGGGTATTGCAAACCAGTCAGCAACTTGTCCGGAACAATACGGCGAAAACAGTAGTAAAGGTCAGGGAGGTTCACGGACTGGAAGGGATAATCATAATGAGATCGATCCTGCTGTGATACACAGTCCAGGGCCGTAGTATTATTATGGTTTCTAATACCGGTCTTAAACACTGCGCAAAATAACTAAAAACAAATTAATAATACTTTGAATACAAAAATCACACATTTACAGAGTGGTCAGCGGACAGTAAAACCCAGAAACAATCCTTGTCCGGTCAAATCAATGTAAGAGTACATAGTGGGGCTGGCAGGATAATTGTTGATACTGAATTCCTGATGGAACTAGTTTCATGATTTACTGGACGATCCGATTGAAAAATTATCAATGAAAGAACATCGTAATTCACACCATAAACGCCATATACAGATAGCAAAATTAAGTATGCAGTGATGAAACTGAACAAATCTGTCAAATATCGGTTGTTTTTTAACGCAAGTAACCCTAAAGTGGTGACCTTGTGCACGTAAACAGCCAGCTGATTCAGTCATCGTCATTTTGAAGCAACATAGTCACAAAGTTGCATTATTTTCGACAGATTTTCATTGTACCCAACCGTGATTATGACATTACACACTTACTTTAAACTCCGGACAAGCTGTTTTCAAAAAAAAAATCTGCGAAAGCGTAGTCTTTTCTACCTATAATCGAGAAAAATTGGGAAAACACCGTTGTGCATCCTTCCACTAGTTGAACCAGGCTAGCAGTGATGTCATCATCGGCTGTACAATATTTGCATACAAATTAATCGGCCAATCAGATTGCGCGATTTTCTTGACAATCGTCTACTGCTGACTAATCACAATATTCTCCTCGCGTCAGTTGAATCGTTGAGCTCTGGAGCAACAACAGTTACATGTTTGTTGTTTTTTGCGATCCGTTGCTTCTGAAAGTATTACTGTAAGCTGGGAAAGCGGGAATTCCAAATGACAATAATTTATATTCACAAAATAAAGTGACTTACACTAAAATTAATGTCTAACGTTAATTTTATCCACCTTACTCGATTTCTTGACTGGGGAAAACATACACCTAGCACTTTATATAAGATTTTATTTATCAGTATGGTACAGAGGGTTCTGCCTTTGACAAACACGTACATAATATCCGTCCATAACTTTTTCCGTAATGACAAACCAACGCTACCGAAATCATAACTTTCGGGGAGGTAACAAATGTGAACTTGAAGGGCGCTTAGTCGATGCTTACAGTAAAGTTTCCAAACAGCAGTGAGATTTACTTTCAAATTATTTTAATAACGTTATTCTGTATTTTTGTCACATAATAATACAATTCACAAAGAACTAAAGAAAAATCGCAAAACAAAAACAAAAACAAAACAAAACAACAAAGCGGAGAGCACAAATGTGACTGGAACTGAAACTTGTTTACCGTAACATTTCATACTTACAATTAATTGTGCACAAAAATTAGGCCAAAATTTGCCCAAAGTCACCCGTTGGAATTAATATATAACAGTGTCGAGCGCCAGCGCAACAATTGACTGACACGGTGAGGCACACAGGCGGGTCCACGATGACACCACGAGGACTGCAGGTGACATCATCGTGCGATCAACATTGTTTCAAGTTTTTTTCCTCGAGTGACACGTCCGGAAGAGGTCGGATTATATGCGTTATCGTTTTTAGACTAAAATCCGCCTCAAAGTACGCTAAAACACAAATGAAAAAAAAAGTTGCAGAAAAACAAAATTATCTGTACGAAGATAATAAAGTTATGCTGTACACCGTTATCTCCGAGCCTGTGCCGGGAATTAAGTAGGACATATAACACACTATACTCAATGAGGGTAGGGTCAATTTAAAAACGAGGGGCTGGGGAAGGTTATGAAAAAATTTTCGTGAGCGAAAAGCAAATATTAGCATAATGTAAACTAAATGACAGGGAAACACGACTACAAAAATATTTATGAAAATAATTAATACCAATCATTAGCTACATTCAAACTCAAATATCCAATAGTAATTGGCTCAAGACGGAGCTTAACATTGTCTGTGACCAATGCGCGCGCATGGGCCTTCACGTAAAATTGCATGAATTAACTTGAATTACTATTATTATTTGATCAATAAATAGCAGCGTTAAATACTAAAAATCGATTGATAATTATCGATCATTCTGGATGTCACCCTACTCATATCATAATATCACATTTAATATGAACACAACAAGTCAATAACAACTGTCAAGCGTTGTATGAATGAACTCGTTGCTATGACAACGAATAGTTGTTGAATACGTACCATGAAACATCAGATAAAGTAGCACACAGTGGACTTGCCTTATTTGCGTCATATGATGGTCACCATGCGAAAGTTTTGGTGTAGTACGGTCTTGTAGCATGGGCAAGAATGTATATATATAGTGACATGATTAAAACACGCGGCAAATGTGTGCAATTTACGTAAAAGGTCATTAACACTGTATGATGCAATCATCGAAACTGGCTTGACCTTTGACCCGATTAACCAATGCGACGATACTGAATCAACCTTTGAAAAATACAAAAACAAAACAGTTCAAACTAGCATTTTATATTAACCAGACCGCTTTCTCTCTTTCTCTCTTTCAAATAAGTATTTTTTTATATGTATCAAATTTCGAGCAAAAGAATTGTATGAAATATTACTAAAAAGTTTGCATCACAAGTGTACATTTTAATTTCAAAATTAAACTCTCCCAAAAAATATAGTTAATTGTACTTTCGTTAATTACTATTACCACAGTCCCTAGAGGCACTGTGTTACTACTAATAAATAGAAATAAAACATATAAACATCGCGCAATACGTAGAACTAGATTATCAATCAGTACTTGAAGTTTAGCATTTTGAAATCGGCATTAATGATGATGCAATCTTAATTATTGGTATGGAATGTAGCGACAGCTCAAAGTCCACGAAATATTACTCGAAGAGGGTGCAGTCATGTGACTATTGTGGGGGGCATACCCAGTGCGCCGCTCGAGGCAGATCCGATTATAAGATATTGGCAATATTGCACAATATAACGTGAATGATCAATAATACGGATTTTTCAAAACTGATCGTATCTATTATTTAATATTTTAACCCAGAGATGTTAAAGGGCGGTAGTCGTCGCGCTGTTCATGTGCGATATCTGTGTTGATAAACATTGCGTTTCCCACAATCCAATGTGCCCTTCTAATGGAAATCATAATGAAAAGTATGAGGTTTGAACTCCGGGTTTGACCTTAGCTGCAGACTGCAGCTAGGTTTGACCTGGGCGCGACTAGCACTAATTACCGCTCATGGCTTCTTCTGTACCTTCTAAACACCTAATAAAATACCTAAATAAAGCTTGGTAACGTCTAAGTTTGTACGTGGAGGTAGAAAAGAGAAGGTTTCATGATGCTTTGGATTTGTTTACTCAGTACACATTGTAATTATTTGGCAAACACGCTGTCAAATGTCACCGTTATTAATCGGCTTACATGTTTCGGCTGTATTCGAAGCTTCACGAAGATTCTCGACGCACTGCGCATGCTCTAACAGATAACAATAATAGAAAATGCAGCGAAAAATCTATTGCAACAAAAGGCACGATTTTCAACATCTGCACAGTTCGCAGCTAGTTCTTAACACCGATGAAAAATGCCCCGTCAAAACATCTTGTTATAAACTTATCATGTATCTTTAAATTTCACTGCGGAAATTTGCGGGATTTTTTTAATCAATGTCCAAAGTTGGACGACTATTTCGATGAAAAATATCACATAATACATGATAATGGCTTCCCGTACTACTGGCATTTGATTATTCATGAGGGCGTGCACAATTTTGATAGAAGTTTGATACTGCTCACAGCACGCCTCGGGACAGCGCACTTATAATTACTGGGTAGATAAAATAACATGCTATGAAAAAACAAAACAAAAACAAAAACCCACAGTAATCATCAAATAAAAATAGTTCAACCATTAACAAATTACTGACGCAGTACAACCGTAGATGGCGCTACCATTCATGAACAAGCTCTCACTGCATAATGTAAAATCGATTCTATGCTACAGACAGAACGCAACCTTGAATTCAGCCATGTCAGTGATGGTATTATGCTCATACCTGGGGAGGGGTCAATTTGATTGCTGTACATTTTTTTTTAAATCAAGGAAATTCTTGAGAAAACTAGACAAACTTCCAAAAGTCCACACAAAAATAAATGAAAATTGGAGTTCTCCTTGCAAATAATGTACCACCACAGAGGGCGATACCGCCTAATGAACATTTCTTCAAAATTTCCCCCAAGTTGTTCAGTGTAATACGGTTACTAAAAACTAAAGTAACTGAGTGTATTGAACAAAGAACTGATAGAGCCCAGACGAGCTCGCGACGACACCGTGCCTTCAGTAGAATAATCTTTTGCGGTCTCTTTGTTCTAAATTAAATACACTTATGTATGTACTTAAAATGTTTTTTCCTACGAAAAAGATGCACGTTTTTCTCGTGTTTGTGTTTAATAATAGTACACACGTAAGTCCCATTTTATTATTCACAGCACAACTACAAGAAGCTCAAGTAGGTGTGAATGAAGATTAGCTCCTAAGTTTGTCATTTACAAACACCTATAGACAAAAAAATGATTATTTTAATCATGAAGGTAAAACTTACCTACATCCATGTTTCACATTTGTTTCTTCCTTTCATGGCAATGTTTCAAATAATTTACCATTAATCTAACTGACTGGGTGTATTAAAACAAAAGATTTTCTCCAATTTTACTTTTGAACAATTTTGGATTGCTAAAAATATGATTAGCAGCTCTGTGATTGTGTTCCCGTTTTGAACCTGAACGTTCTCTTTGAACTTGGGCCTTCTTGCCTTTGAACTGTATATTGTACCATACATTTTTGTTTGTTTTGTCAATATTTGTTGTGTTAAAAAAAGAAATAAAAAATTTATAAAAAAAAAAGTTATGCATGTAACAATAGAAAAACAAAATGTGCTCCTGTACTTTCAAAACGTTGTCTGAAAAAAAAGGACATGACTGACACTACAAATTGTAAAGAAACACTTACATTTTAGAAATGATCAAAAATGGTACATTGTAATTAGAAAAAAAAAAAATTTATGCTTCATAGCGTTCTTTACATTGGTGTATTTTTTGATAGCAAGAATACGAACAGTGAAAATGTTAGTTTTTCAGGTTAGTCGTTTATCGCATATTAGTTTACTCTTTCATGTCATGTGCCCCTAAAACAAACAGTCTAGACATTTTTTTTTCTACAAAAGTGTAGGTTTGATAGATTTTGGCCATCATTGTTTTGGTTACAGCCATCAAAACCAGTGGTTGGCAAATGTAACATGGTGCTTGTCAGGAATGAAACCTTGTATACACATTGCCATGTCCATACACTGTTTGACAACTTGAATAATTTCAACAGCCCTGATTAAAGATTATTTTAAAATACTTCTGTTCCCATTCCAAGTTGGCACACTAATTCAAATTATTTAGTAAATGACATCAGTGTTCAGGGCGGCATATTCATCTCAAACCAAGAGATCTATATTATTTATAGGGTTACTCTGTACTTTTTTTCACATGTCATTTCTCTTAGGAAAATCTCGATATTCTGCAGACACAAAACATTTTTAACAGTTGTGCACTTCGTTTCACCATTTTGGTATCATCTGAGAACGACATTGAACTTCAATGTTTTTTGGTAAAATTTACTTTAAAATTGTAACCGACCTAGACCATGAACAACATTATCAGACCAACGGCCATGCAAGTTTTAAAATTCCCAGACCGGCTGAAAAATTACCCGAACAGCAAGTTCAACACTGCCATGGGTTAACTGTTTTCACTATAAAATTTTGCAATTTCATAGCATTACCAAGACTTGAGTGAAGACTAACATTTTGTGCGTCCCCTCAATCAAATTAGTTTACTATAAATTATACAGCACCCAGTAGCAGCAAGCTACTGTAAAATACATTATATTAGTTGGAATTAATTTTCACAGAAAAGATGTTTTGGTTTTAAATATTTTCAATGATTTTAGACTAGTTAAATGTAAAATATAGAAAAACGTTTTTTTTTTTTTTATAATGGATTTTATTTTCACTGATACATTGCTACAGGGAAAATAAAGTACAGTATAAGGGACTTGTATCGACACTGTATTTAACTCCACACATTTATTATACAACAACCAAAGTAAGTTACATAAAAGTGCCCCTTTTAACAAGACTGATTTGATAAAGAAAACTGATAAAATATTTACAGTAAACCTAAAAAAAATAACGAACATGGGAAACAGTCAGCTGATTTATTGTATCTAGTAGTTCTATCACAAGATAAGTCAACAAGATAAACTACCATATCAAGGTGCAATTCTTCACTTAAACATTGAAGGTTTCAGACACTTTAAATTTTTTGCTTACAAGAAAGGTTTCTAATTTATTCCCTAAAATATGTTGCTTTTGATCCAATGTCATATTTCAATTACATTTTTTTGTGAAAATCAGTTTTGAAAAAAAAAAATTCTGTGTTGAGTACCCAAAATAGACAATAGCGGTGAAAGGCTTCAAGTACACACTACCGGGTAATATGGGTAATGCAAAATCTGTATTAGAAATTGAGACATCTATTAAAATGGAAAAGAGGGAATGTGCCTTCTATTAGACCATTTACATATACGAGAAACGGTGAATTTTTGGTTCTCAATTGTTCAAAAAAATGGGTGTGGCTTTTATTAGGGATGCGACTTCTAATACAGATTTTACGGTAGTAGCGAACAAAATTAAATAGTTTTTCAAGTCAAAAACTTTTCCTTTCTACCACCGAGGAGATTCAATTTGATAATTCTAAAATCCTTATTCTATTAAGAGGGGATATATATAATTAAAAAAAGTATAAACGTAACATAAAATTGCCGGTACTAAGTATAAATTTGAAATTCATGAAATTGTAGAAATGGCTCAATGACTATTGCAATGAGGTTTGTAAGTATCAAGATTGAAACGAAGGCAGTGAATAAACTCATCTGGAACAGTTAAAACACACTTTCTAGTTTGTCTTCATAATGATACAAATATTAATCTGTTAAGCCATGATAAATATTCAGAAATGTTCATACAAAGTCCTGAGTCTATCTTTTTATTTTTTGTATAATTTGTTTCTTCTATATTCCTTGTATTTTAGAAAATATACGAAGACTTCTGCTTATATTCCAATATTCTGAATTGATGCAATAAAAATAATGTAAGCAAGACTTGCTATGCCGCCAGGACTGATAAATAACCTTGGTTGGAAATTAACAAGTTTGATCAAATCCACAGAAATTGAACAATATTGACTAGGGGGGAAATAAATTTATCAAAAATTGTATTAATCGTAGATTTCTGTGTCCTGGCAGGAGTTCCACTGAATAACAGCTTTCACATTCAGTGATGTGATAGTCTACACATTGGTGAAGAAAATTCAACGGCATAAAACATTCAAAGACCTGTTTAAAATTTTGTGCAAGGTGTGCAATTGTGTTCAGGTGAAATTACAATCTTATTTAGTTATTTCATTTGTTCTAATTTAGTTTGGTGGGGGTGGTGGTGGAGCAGGGGGTAGGAGTGGTGGAACAGCACCCATACCCTGTGGTGATGAATCCATAGGAGGAGGTGGGGGAGGAGGTTGCCCATATGGCATCATAGGTACTGGGGGTGGTGGTGGTGGTCCTGGGGGAAGAGGTGGTTGTGACGCTGGTGGTGGTGGCATCCCTGGAGGCATCATTGTAGGAGGTTGTGGGACAGGTGGTGGGGGTGGTTGCTGCCATGGTGGTGGTGGTGGGGCTGCCTGTAATTGCCACGGTGGTGGAGGCATTGCATTTGATGTTGGTGAAGAACCTGAAAAAAATAACAAATATGATATTTATACATGACTTCAGGACAATAATCTTTATTCACTGGGATCTGAGGAATAACGTAAAATACTTGGTCTGAATTTACACAAATTGTGGGAAATAAGTATTGCATTTTCAAGGTTTACCAGAAAATATCGCCTTTATAGCAAGAAAAAAAATGTCAACAGTATAGCACACATTAGCATAAAAGTTTCCTTACATAATCACTGACTCATAAAATGACCAAAGCACATACTTTGTATTCAATCTCAAGACAAAGATAATTTAGCTTGTAGTCTTGTGCATAGTAAAATTTTTTACAGTCCTATTTTATAAGCTTCAAAAAATTTAGAATATGCAAAAAGTATATAGCGTTACAGTAATCGAGTGACCGGATAGATGGATTGAGCCAGCCAGCCAGCCAGTCTTAGTAAGTAAACTTTACAAGTAACATGCATCAACCTCCAGTAATGGTTAATCTTTTCACCAAGTTTGAAGTAAATTGGATTACACATGCTCAAGGTCTGGTTCTTGACATGTCATAATACCTGATTGTAGTGATTTTTAGGAACAAAAATGATCGCCATTGACCTATCGTTGAATCCAATCACAAAATCATTGCATGTGTTTATGTATCAAACTAGATGTGCAAGGTTTTATGAGCCTGGGTCAAAGGTAGCTGAGAGATCAACTACGAACGCACGGTTGGTGGATGGACACATGCATGAAGACCAAGTTGGAATTTCGGACTTTGAACAGTGACTAATAATGAATTCTGTATTTTATCTCAGAATTGACTCCTCATCCACTATGACACTGCTGGTACTTAAACATTATAAATTAAATACTCACCATATGGAACCTCTGTACCTGAGAACTGATGCCATGGTGGTGCAAAATTTGTAGACATCAATGGCGGGGCATTACCTTTAAAAACAAAATTTCAGAAAAATATAAACATTTTTTGTGCAGATTTTTTATCGTACTGCTGCAATACAATTTTGTGGTTGTCATGTGAACATCTTTGATTAGTTGCAATCACTCATTGTTCAGCAAAACTGTCTTAATAAATCAAATGCAACATTAATATTTTTAATATTATAGTCTTGCCTTTGTTAAAATCACACCAAATTTCCTGAGAAATTAAGACAGAATTGTTTGCACATCATGCATGTTGCTTATCCTAAATAGTAAAAGCCAAATATTTTTTGAGTACAGACATAAAGATGCACTTCCAAAAACAAAAGTATGGTCAGAAAAGGTGAGACCAATTGGCACTTTTACTTGAAGAGGTTGATGCTATGGTGTAGAGTATGTATGAATTTAGTCTAAAATTTGAAAGCATGTGGATAAAATACTAACACTACAATATCAAAGAAGCTCAACATGCATGGCAGTCCAACCATAGTACTTCTCAGTGTGTACAAATGACAAAAAAACTTCAATTCACTATATAATGCATTTGCTAGTAGGTAGCGTATGCACTAACACAAATGACAGTATGATGATGGTTAGAATAAGGGAAGAGTAGGAAATCAAACGAGCGGTGCACCGCGGTCATTACCGCGGTGTACCGCAGAATGCCAGGGAGAGCCGCGGACTGCTTATAATTAGGGGTCTCTACCACTGTACCGGTCTCTACCGCGGTCCTCGGTAATGTGTGAAATACGTACTTAACAGTTTCTTTGTGATTCCACGAGTCATTGTTTTAAAATCCGATGCTGTAAATGAATACGATATGTGCGCTTGTTTAGTATTTAGTACATGTATTTAGCGTAACACTGGAATAAAGTTTACAATTGAGAAGAGGACGATTTACAAAGTTTCAGCGTATCCAAGCCGTATCCTGGTTCTTGATTGATTTGGCAGTATCATGTTCACCATTTGTGTCACACTCTAGAAAAAATGGCCAGCAAACGAGAAACGGGCGAACTAATCAAAACAGGTCAGGCTGTCTGCATTGCACTGACAATGACATGATTATTTTCTGTTTCGTTTCATAAATCTTGCCTTGCGCATGTATTCTTGGTTGACAGAATCTTTTCTAAACAAAAGACGTTAATTTTTCTGTTACATGTTCGTGTTCCATGGTACTCGTGAGTGTGAAAGGCATTTTGAATGAATAATTATTGAGTTTATGATACCGTACGATAACGCTAGCTGGCTTGATTAGAATTTCATTGC